AAATGACAAATTAAATATTTACAGTACATTACAGTACAGTTTCCAGCAAGTCTTTATATATTAAAATGTCAATGCTGAGTTTTAAGTTCTGTAAAGTAGGGCAGCCATTACTATTTACTATTACATATTATTGAGGCAGACTATTGATATTTGAGGATTTTTAAAGGACCAGTGTGTAGGATTCAGTGGCATCAGTGAAGTTACAGACTTCAACCCACTGAATACAGCTCAGTCTTCCAAGCGGGTAGGAGAAAGAAAAGGGGGCTGCAAAAAATGTGAAAGGCCCTATCTTGAGTGTTTGGTTTATTTGTTCTGGGTTACTGTAGCAACATGACGGTTCAACATGGCGGCCTCCACAGAAGAGGAACAGTTTGAAATGTAGATAAAAATGGCTCATTCTACGGCAGAGGTCTCAAACTCAAATTGGCTTGGGGCCACTGCTGGCATTGGCATCTCATAAGAGGGCAACTTCACCGTTCAAGTACTACAATAAAGCGCAATATTCTGAAATATATTTACATTACATCATACATAAAAAAAATGCAAACAGTAGTTTCTATACATATCATCTTTGTTGTTTGCAGCCAATAAACAAAAGGCCCAAAACTTGCTTTCTTGTTATTGAATACTAGCACACATTTGTAGGCCCCTTTGACCATTATTTGGTGCCAAATTAAAAATATTTCAAAATATAATTCTATTTTTATTTTAATTGTAATTAAAGGGGGAGTTTAAATTGATATGAAAGAACATAAAAATAGTAATAATCTTGCGGGCTGGATTAAACTATATTTTTGACATTATGCGTAGAGGGAGAGGGATGGCCCCCCCAAAAACACAATAATTCTTACTTTCAAGTGATTATGAGATGCGCAAAAAACATGTATGGCCTGATCTACAGTCAGTTTTGGTTTGTCCACTCTGGACTGTAGAAACATGGCAGTTGAACACGGTGGCCTCCACGGAAGACGTCAACGTCTGCAGATAATAGCGGCTCATTCGGAAGTAACAAAAACATGACAACTCTTATTTTTAGGTGATTATACACTGATGAAAACATACCTATGAATATTATATTCCATTTCTGACAAAAGATCCTCCTAAATGTTACACACTGGACCTTTAATAGAGATCTTTTAAAATTGGTTATAAATAAGATGTGTTCAGAGCGGGACATTTAACAGTTGGAACCACAGTTCTCTTTGGTGGAAAATCTTTGTAATGATGACACTGTTTCTAAACGACATCAAAGAAGTTGACATAAAGTGTGTATCCACACCAGTATTTATGTGACAAATCTGCATATATAATGTATAGATCAGACTCTACTGTAAAGCTAAGCAAATTAAGTAATTTTTTTACCCAACACAGAGCTATACTGTAGATCTATTACATTAGGTCCTTTGTTTGGTTGTTCGTTTTTAATTTGTAAATAAGAGCTCGTTACTCAATGAACTGCTTTGTTACAATAATAACTTTGAAATGCCGCTTTATACACAACGCATAACTAATGCTAATTTAAAAAGCTGGAACCTTTCTTCAAAAAAACAATTCAATTCAACTGTCCATGCTGTGTTAATTATAGCTAAGAGAACATTACCTTAATTTACACTGATCACAGATAGATTTCTAGATGGATTCAGGGAATTATAAATGGTCACTGGCTTGTTTGTAGTCACTGTGTCTGTGAATCATGAATATAGGTATTGATTATAGAGGTGTTCAAACACTCTCACCAGCCAGTTCTGTTTTCGTCTCATTGTAGCTGTTGTCATCTTCCTCATCTACCTCTTGGATGAGGATTTTCTTGCCTTTGCGTTGCTGCTCTGGATGTTCCTTCATCTTCTTCTCAGTTGAAGACAGAAGTTTCTAAACCATAAATAATTCACACATTAGAATTTGTGAACAGTAGGAGGTGAGAAAAGAAAAAAGTGGCACACCTACTGATACCACAATGATCCATATACCTCTGAGCTACGACTGGCTTGTGTGCCAATGTAAAAGAGACATCTTCTCCTACAGTATATTGAAATCCCTTATACACAATTAAAGGACATATAAACAATGTCCTCAAATAACCATATAAAACCAAAAGAAAAACACATCCTGTGCTAATCATCTAACACAGAACAACTGAAGAAGCTACATCACTCTCTATCGACAATAATGACTACATATGATTTTATTAATACTTTGCAGCAGCTGAGATCTGTTTTTAAGTGCCTGATTGCACACAAATACAGTGACACCTACTGGACAATAAGGCTACTGGCATGCAATAAAAATGCCTCAGTGCTTCTGTATACTTACAGTGGCTGCAGCATTCTGCGGCTCTTCCCTAAGCACCATCCTCAAGTCTTCAGCAGCCATTTGGAAGTTGCCCATGTGATGATAAACAGTAGCACGCCGGAGCAGGGCTGAAGATGCAAAATAAATCACACACAGTACATTACATACCACTACTATGATACTGTAACTAAAGTGCTAGAAAGTTGCAAAAAAGTAACTTTTTGAGGTAGTGGCAACATACAATTATGCCTACATTATAATCATATTTCTGCCTATATGCATCGTCGTAAGTGCGACTGTACAAAAAACGAAATTAAAGCACCTTTCATATTGCCTGGTTCCAGCTCGAGCACCCTCTGGCAGTCTCCCATGGCATTGTGCCAGTGCTTGAGGTTGATCTCTGCCTGGGCTCTGTTGTTGTATGCAGCGACGGTTGGTATAATGGAAAGGCTCCTGTAATGGAAGGCCAAAAATAAAACAGACCTTTATTTATAATGAGGTTAATGGACAAACACTTAGAGGTACAGTAAATGGAAATGAAATCAGACTTCAATGAATGACAGAAGGCTAATTAAATGCCAGGCAACATAATATAATCCCCTTAAGAGATGTAAATGCTCTCTATAATAAATGAGTTGGTTTAAGAGCCTGACCTGGAATAGTATGCAACTGCCTCCTCATAATCGTTTGCCCGGAAAGCTTCATTGCCTTTGTCCTTTTCACGGTTTGCCAGAAGGAGCTTCTCCTGTTGTGTCAGCACTATTTGTATTGTAGAGACCACACATTTCAGACACATACCCACACAACCTAAGTATACAAAATGCTACACAATGACTACAAAATAAATCTGAGATGCATAACACATAATACGTTACATGAAGCATCCACTTTAGTCTTGATGTTAGGGTGTCCTGTGTTTATAATGATGGGTAGATCCTTTTTGTCCACATTTACGTCGATTCTTTCACATTCTTTTTCCACATCAAACCTTGAAATAGAGTAAAATACATTTGGATGAAGGAAGATGCAAAATGATGCTCTAAAACAGCATCAACTGTTTAATTGTGGATCATTATAATGAAAGAAGATTAGCTAAAGCCTTTTACAAAGTAAAACGCGTGGAACCTTTTATGTGCAGTGCCTGCAGCTGCTATAACAGTGTGTTCTTTCTTCTGAATATAATAGACAAATGTAGAGACAAAATGACTCACTTGTCCCATTCTCGATAATCACGTGGGAGAGTATGTTTTGAAGAATTCCTCTTTTCTTTTGGAACTGAAGTCTGTGATGACATGAAACTTCATTTGAGCATTTTGCCTGCATCTACAGTATAAATGTATATAGTTACGTACATCGTTGGAGGTCGTTTACCTGAGTAAGTGGAACGGAGCAATTGGAACCTCTTATGGGTAGCACATTTTCTTTCACTACATCATCAAACACTGAATGCTGTTTTAGTGAAGTCTCAGTCTTTTTGGTTTCTTCTTGCCACATCTGTGAAGAACAAAGTATTTAATATTAAAATGTTTACTACTAATTTTCAGAAACTGCCATATAAAAAGAGAGATGGTATTAAGCAGGATTGTTAAAAAAAAAACTACTATACAATGAGTAGCATACCTTTAACTCATCAACAATTTGGCTCCACTCATCTTTAGGGAGGCTTGCTGCCGTGGCCACAGGGTTTTCCTTCCTGAGAGCTCGGCTCCTAGGGTCCAGTTTCTCCAAGTGACTCTCACAGAACTTGATTAGATGAGGATAAATGCCCTCGTCACCAGACCTTTACACAAAGAAAAAGTATGACTTTCTAAAAGCCCACATTCCTAGCAATCTTTTCATGCAAGTTTATCATACTGTTGTGTTTTGCTCTATTACCCATTTTTCTATTTTCGATTTAGATTTTACTGTATTGAGAGCTCATGAACATACAAAACCAACCCTGGCTCCTCATGTCTCAAGCTCGGTTATGTGGCTTTTACCTCAGTACTCTCAAGATCTTCTCCAGGTATTTTACATTTGTGCATTTTTCAATGTAATCATAGTCCAGGTGCTCCACGGGGACCTTCCCGCTATAGTCAACGGTGGTGGACTGGTTCAGAAGTGGGAAAACTGCATCTGCACTCATGCCTAGGAAGAATTTCAGTTTACTCACTTATTATGTCAAACAATGTGTATTTGTTAAAGGCAGTCACGTTAGTTAGCTCTGAATGATAGCTTCATAGTTAACGTTAAATAACTTTCGTTAGCTTACTGTAATGTTACGTTAGTCAGCTAAACCAACGTTATTGTTAATTTAGATAGCGTTAGCTCAACAGAATGTGATGAAATGTAGGAATTGACGTTAAGACGAGACCGAATTTAGGTTTAGGAAGACTCAAAGATGCTCTTAACTTTACTTAATGCTATTAAAATAAAATGAAGTAACTTTACCTGCTGCTGTTTGGCACAACTCTCATCTGCAAAGCGGGGTTTGTTACTATGGTAACCACAGACGGAAAGGAGCTGCACGCCAAAGCGGAAGCACGTGACGCAGTGATCGCTGGGCTCCAAATTTGAAAACGTGGCTGGTAGTTGATGTAGGATGAACATGTAGCAAACAGAAACATCGACGAGGGGTGTAAGAAACTGAGGAGACAACATTGCAGGCAGAGGCCACGGCCTTTACTTTAACGTTAGCACAGTTTTATCTATAAGTAAGTCTTTTTGTTGTAATTCTATGTTTGATGCTAAATATTGTGTTGCTTTTTTATTGCAATTTACGGCACAACTAACGGTATATTTGTCAAACCACCACCTAGCACCTAGCAGTGGCTGTGGTTGTAGGGAGCTAACGTAGCTACGGTGATATGTCGTCAATTTGCCACAATTTGAATGTAAGTTAGTGTGTAACATTAATTTGGCTCCAACCGTACCTCAATCCTCATTGCTGGGGGATGAAATGAATCAGCAAAACGAATTTAACAGCTCTTTAATATTAGCTAACAGTTAGAGAGTGTGTGTGTGTGTGTGTGTGTGTGTGTGTGTGTGTGTGTGTGTGTGTGTGTGTGTGTGTGTGTGTGTGTCATTGGTTAACGTTACATTTATCAAAGTAGGTGACATTACACAGACACTTGTAACGTTAATATATTGTCAGATTTTTAGCTCGATATCAACCCCCCTATACAACAGTTACCTCGGTAATTAACCCAGGTGTGTTCACATCACGCTAATTGCTCTAACAACGATGACCTGAGGGACAATACGTTGGGTTTGTATGTAACTTTGACACTTTTGGGTTTACTTTAGTGTTAAATTCAGGTAACCATAGATAAGTGTGCTCTTGTGCATTGTAACGGTCATTCCTGCCCTTTAGTCCCGCTGTTTTTCATCCGTTAACCGGTGTAAAGTAACTTAACTGGGAATAAAATGGTCTCAGAGAGGCAGAGCACCGTGTCGACTGTGGTATAAATCCTAGGGGCCCTCTGTCTGTCTGTCCTCTGTCTGTCCTCTGTCTGTCGGGGTCGGTTGTTCGTTTTGGCGGTTATAGCTCACTTTAGAGCGGCACAGCACGCGACGGGGGATTTAAATGGACAACACGCGCTCTCGTAGCAACGCTGATGAGCCAGCTGACTCTGTGACAAACTGCAACCCACAGTACAAACAGTGAGGACGACTCTTCATCACTTGGCTTATCTCTTATCACAAAGTGAGTCCAACATGGCAACAAAATTGCGTAAACAAACAACATTTAAGCTAGTTTTGCGTTTTTCTCTTGTGTAATTTGTCCCTAGAGTTTGACTAGTATCACTTTTGTTTGTTTGAATAAAGTAGTTTCCATTAGAGTGGGAAATAACTTTCAACGTGAACATCTACCAGCAGCTCGCATATTCAAATTCACTAGCCACTTTATAGTAAACCAGTATCTTTTCATTTGTCTGAAATCTACCAGAGACAGTAATATTTGCATGTTGCTAATTTCCCACCCAGACAGGCACCATTTACGCTCCTCAGTTGTCCTTGAGTAGTTTTACTTACTACTTTTTGTTGTCTGCAGGTCGTTTGACATCCTCCTCACTTGGTGAATACTGTTTGGGTGCACGGAGGAGGACGAAAATGCAGTGCACTCCTGAATCAAATGTCTACCCTGCCAGCTGCAAAGGCCAGCACTGTTATGATGAGTGCTCTGACAGTGGATACTCGGGTTTATTCCACAGCCCACAGAGCATCAGTAGAGTTGACAGTTGTAGGTCTTTGTCTCCAGTAGAATTTAATGAAACACCTAAAGAGAACCTCAGGCTTTCTGTCACACCTAAGGAGAGGACCAGAGAACCAGTCGGCTTTTCCCGCAAGGACTCCAGGGGAATGCAGGGGCCATCAGCGGTTAGCTGGTGTGAAACTCCCAAAAGAGATTCCTCATTGCGACATAGGCTTCTAATGTGCAGACCCAGCCCAGCTATCAAAATTGGCAACACAAGATCACCATGCACCAGAAAGACTGAATCCTCCATCAGTGTCAGGTCTGAACACTGGCTCAGTGCATCGTTTGACTCTTTAGACACTGTGACCGGGGCTTTGGCTTCAAGCACTTTAAAACTGGAGCAGGATCTGCCACTGTCTGGTAGAAAACGCCGTCTCCTCTTCACGCAGGTGAGGACATCTACTCTTGAAGATGGTAAACTCAACTCTGGTTGCCTTTCCAGTTTTGAGAGAAGAGTTTCACTCTCAGATGCAGATTTCAGTGAACGCATTTCTGCCTCTGATCAAAATAATATTGAGACTCTGTGCTTTAACAAATTCCTGCCTACCTCATCAAAGGAAAACTCTCAATCACCAATCACCGCTGGGGCAAATAACCCATATGACAGCTCAAGTGTCTTGTGCACACCATCAACCACACACACACCCAAATACTTCAGGTATGTGCTTCTTTTGACACATTTTGACATTATTCTATATTAATCAGAAAACATGCATGTGTTAACCCCCTTCTAATCCTGGAACAGGTCTGTGTCTGAAGACAGCGGTTTCAGTTCCCTGACCCTTGATAAATCTCAAGACTCCTCGGTGGACCATGATGGCTCATTCCAGGAACTGCTGCTCTCTGCCTCCAGAGGAAAGTGTGAAACCCCAAATCTGGCAGAGGCAAAACGGCGCTCCCGTTTGCAGCGTCAGCACAGGCTTTCTACACTTAAAGAAGGGGGCTCCCAGTCTGAGGAAGACCCAACAGAAAGAAGGCATCTTCATCAGTGCCACAGCCGTTCTAAAGATGATGAGGTTTTCGATGACAGTGCCACCCCTCGCAGCGTCCTTTCTGTTAAATGTGGTAATGGCATGGCCTCTGATAGTTTGGCCTCTGCAAAACAAGACTATACCACCCCACTAAGAGCAGCTACAACAAAGCCAGAAAATGTGACACCTTTTAGCACAGCTCCTGCCAACCCAGATGTAACTCCTCTCAGGACAACCCCAGTCAATCTCTCTCTGACTCCAGCTTTGCAGCTAGTTCATGCTATGTGCCAGCAGAAAGCCCAGATGTTTGTCGGCCAAAGTCCAAGTCTGAAGGAGCAGCTGAAGTCCACAGCATCACTGACTGAGACCCCAGTGATGTTCAGGACCACCATGCCATTGGCAGGGCTGATCGGCAGGAAGATGGGCCTGGGGAAGGTGGACATACTTACAGAGCTGAATAAGAGGAACCTCAGGCACATCCTGGCTGTCATACTCAGCCACCTGACCTCTGAGAGCATCTACAGGTGAGGAGAAATCTAATTTACTTCAATATTTTGGTTGCATCTACTATATAACTGCACACCTGCCTTATTTCTCGAAGGTCAAGTAGCTTGATTCCTAGTTTAATTTGTCATTAATTAAACTGATAATGATTACTTGTGACAGGAGCATTAAGATATGAATAAATTATCATATTAACTGTACATGATCCTGTAGAATTCATACAGCATATCATGGATGCTTAGCTTAGACCAAAGTGTGGTACATTAGACTAGTCTGATATCTAAATTTAAGCTAGTAAACGATCAAGATATGTAACCGATGCAATTTGTAGACATTTTTATCTGAAACTTTTAGGCTTTTGTTGATGTTTATTACTCAAGACATCAGGTGGGGCAATGAGTGCTGAAAACACTGGTCTAATGCATGCATTTTTGTGTTTTTTTGCAGATGTGGTCAGGTGTGCAAGAGCTGGAATAAAATCATCCAACAAGACAAGCGAGCTAGTTTTAAGAGAAGAAGCCACCTGAGTGAACTGGAGGCTTCTCTTGAGGTAGGCTGTGTGGTCAGCAGTGTAAACAAAATTCATCTCAGTGACCAGTACAACAGCAGTTTTATGTCCAGTGTAAAGAAACGTTTGAATGATTGTTTCACTGTCCTCCAGTTTGTCAATGTGTGTATATAACTAACTGTGACTACTGGCTGACATAACCATTCAACTTTGTGCTGTTTTCTTACAGCTTGGTGGTGCTGTCCATGTCCCTGATGCAGAGACTAGACTCGCTCTGCTTAAGAGGTCAGCCCTTAAGACTGTTCAGGCCCAGTCTAGGACCTCCAGCTACTGCACCCCGCAGTCAGGAAATAGCACTTTAACCCCTTTACAGCACAGTGCCTTACACTCAGGCAGCAGCAGCAAACGGGACAAATTCCTAGAAGTGAGTTTTAAAATGAGTGGATTTCCTTAAGTAGATTATATGTAATATTTGGATTTATTAAATATTAGTTTCAAATGATGATTACTGTTCAGTTGAGGGTCAATGAGGTTTCTAATTTACTTGACTGAAGGAACTGCTCAGGGAGGGTCACATAAAACATTTACTCAAATTTGTATTTTTTTTCTTTCAGGTTGCCAAAACCCTCTTCAACGATGAGTGCCTCAAGCCTTGCCCTCGGTGTCAGCATCCTGCAAGGTGTCACTCAGTGAAAGGGGAAGGTGTGTGCAGCAGAGCTGACTGTGGTTTCCAGTTTTGCACAGCCTGTCTGTGTGCTTTCCACGGCTCTAGAGAGTGTGGCAGCCAGTCTGTAGGCCGACGCAAGAAGGACATACTTCTTCCAGGAAGCGCTCAAAGCAAGCGAAACGTTAGGAGACTATGAGCAGAAAGTGAACTCCATTCCTGTTTGCTATGCCAAAGTTACTTTTTTCTGCTTAATGGCGAATATGAGGCTTAGCAACAAGGAAACTGATTTGAAGCCAGTACATGAGAGCAGCTTCTGTACTTATCAATGTGTCTTTGTGCCTGTCTATGTACTGTATTTCACCCCTTTTTTCAACACAGTTCTTACTTGTGTGTTTTTAATTATGAATGTGAAGGAAGTCTCACCAGCAGTACAATGATTGAATTTTGCTGTTGATGTACTTTTCCATTCGCATCGATCAATTGTACATACTTTTTGGAATTTGAGATTTTCAACTTTTACCAATGTGTTTTCAGAGCAGTTTTAAAATAAACTTGATTTTTTTACATGTGTTTCTCATTTTTCAAAATTTTGTTTTTGTCTTAATTGTGACCTGTATGAAATCATTTGTCAGTGTTTGGCGCCATCTAGTGTAAGTGACCTTACATTGTCTTAACTGCAACAACAATGTCATTCTCTCATTTGACTTTTTGTATTGCATGTAAGTGATCTTAGATACCAACAGGAATGTAAATTCTGTGTATATTTTAGAATGAACTTGTTTTGGGGTCTCAAACAGCTAGAAGAAAGAGAAACTTGTACCTGCTTTTTTCTGGTTTTCTCTAGTTAAACTTTTACCGCCCCTTGTGTTTTGAAAATGAGTCCACTTCCATAGCAACCTGCACTGTGTCTGTAATTACACTGAGAGGTTTGTGGCTGGCCGAATCTTCAAATGTGACTGCCTCACTCGACTTTCTGGGCAGCCAGTTTGAAAATACTGTACAGATTTGTATTTTTAAAGTGAACAATGTGTGGAGCAATTTCAACAGGTAAGAGCAGTACTTTGAGAAACTTCAGTTTACTTTTTTGAATTTTTGTAACTTATGTTGATTTGGTAATGTACGTTTTTTGTTTTACTTTCTTTGTGAAGAGTTTTCACCTCTTACTGCTGACAATTTCGTAAGTAAAAGTTGACATTTCATAACTTCTAATCTTTGGGTTTATCAGAATTTCTAAACTGCCTCTTTCTGTGGATGGTCCTTAGGGTAATGTTTGTCTTCTTTGTCTCCATGCAGGAGAGCACTTTGGCCTCTGATTATGTATTGGCTCACTACTTCAACGATTTCTTAAGTCTTCCGGTAAACTAGTTCTAATGTATTGTATAGTTGTAGCAAATTTTTTACAAAACTCTTACACCCTTCGTATAACCTTAGACCTTTTCCAGTCTTTCCCAGAATCTCTGCTGTACAACCAGGAGACTGGGCTGTTTGAGGTGGTGAGTGGGGCAGCTGAGTTTGTCTCCAGTAGAATCAAATCAATCCTACGCTGCAGCAAAGCACTCCTTACTGGTGACCCCACAGCCCTTGCCAGAACCCCTCTAGTAGACAATCGTTACCCTGTCTGTGTAAGTACTGAATAGTTCCTTTTATGTGGAAAGCAATGTTTAGATCTGGTTTTGAAGATGAGCAGAAATCTATACTGTAGTCCTAGACGGTTAATGTGTTAAAGCTATCTCTCTGACCTTTGCAGTTCCTGGACAGAGAGCAAGGAATTCAGTGGATCATGAAAGAAAGATTGCCCTTTTTCCTTCGAAGCGATTGCTACAGTGAATACAAGTACTATAAATGCTGGGAGATTTGTTTTTGGACCTACTGATTTATATCTTTTTACTGTTACTGTACTGTAATTAATTATTACTGTAACATATTTTACATTATTACTAAACTTAGTGTTAAGTTTTACTCAATTCTTTTTTTACTAACCTTGATTTTAAAGATGATTTTCTTCATCAGATGCGATTTTAGCACACATCATTTCAAAGAATACGTGTTAACCCCTTAGTATAATGCAGTACACTGGTTATTGTGTAGCTTCTTGAAATCATTGTATTTGTTGCCTGTTGCCCTATACTTCCTCCTCTGCTTTAGTCTACCTCATTCCTTATGCATATTGCGTGAAGCCTTAGGGCCACATCCCTGTACAGATCAGATGACTCAGACTAACTTACTAATGTACACATAGAAGCAGTGATAGAAAAATAACAATAGCCAAGTTTGTAAATTCAATTCATCATCAAATAATAATTTTTTTGGTCATTCTCAGACTGGCCAAGCTGTTGTTCCAGTGGGACCGAAACCTCTGTATCCAGAGGAGGAAAGGCAGCTCAGGTCGAACCACCCTGTCAGCCCCACAACTGCGTTTTTCCTCCCAATTTGACAAGGAACATAACTCATTAAAGGTCCTAACATGCTCACAATCTCAAAACAACATTTCAGCAAAACAAGGTATACACTGGTATGTTTATCACATGTACTGTATGTGTACACATGTGTGCATGCTGAAGATAAGGATCCTCATGTTCTATCTTTCCTTCCTGTTCAGGGTCTGTGAAGATACATAATGTTACATGTCTACCGTTTGGCCAAAAGCAACCTATCAACACAAAATGCAGTGAATCACACAGATGTTTCTCCAGCTTGTCTGAGCAACCATGTACCCATTACTCTTTGTCCTCCTCATCTTCCTTCTCTAAACTTAAATGTGAGAAAACCCAAGAACTCCAGAGCTCACACACTCAGATGAGCCCCTACGTCACAGCGCCATCAGCTGGCAGCTCAGAGGAGCCACATCTAAGAGAGTCCAGGATCCAGAATTATGAGTCTTCTGAACTACAGCTGGAGTACTTGGCTGCTGAAGTGGTTGAACAGGTGCTTAACAATGCACTGAACGTGATGGATAGTCAGAGCCAGGCAAACACTTCTGACTGTTTCAGCAAGCCAGGAGACCAGACAAATTGTACTAGCACAGACAGATTCTGTGAATGTAGAGTCTACCAGCATGCTGATGGGGACAGAGAAAGATTGGAGGGGAAGAAAGAGAAAGTTCAAGAAGGCAAGAGGGGGAGTGGAGTGGAAGAAAAGACACAATGGTTTACGAAGAATGGGAAGGTGGGGAGTAGGGGCACAGACCAGGAAAATGCCCTTGATATTTGTTGCCATGGTAACTGTTGCCATGGCAACAGACTAGGCTTGGATGGGTTCAAGGAGTTTTTGCGAGGGACGCCAGGAGAGAAACTGCTTAGTCTCTGGATCGATATAGAGAGACTGAAGGCTACACAGAACAGAGAGCGCAAGAACAGGTAAACATTACATCATGATGAAACACACTTTTTGTTTTTCTGGTGAACTAAACATGGTCTTTTTACTGTCGATACAAAAATGTATTGATACATCTAATAGAAGTATCAGATGTGATGTAATGTGGTATTTTGATCAGGTATTTAGTCCTAATAAGGAGCTGGTACCTGCTGAGCAGCAGCCAGAGAAGTCTAAATGTGGAGCTCCTCTCCAGACTGGGACTGACTACCTCCCCCTGCTGGACAGAGGAGAAACTGTGCTCAGTTCAGCCCTTCCTCACGGAGTCTCTGCTCTACTATTGGTGATATTCACAATTCACAGTATAGTTACCTGATGTTAAGGCTGTATTTGTGTATGCAATGTTTATTAATATTTTTTTGTGTCTATGCATATGACCAGAGTTTGGGTCAGATTACTTTCAAATTTAGTCAGTTACTAAAGTTACTTACATGACATTTTTTGTAATTCAGCACAGCCACAGAAAATTGAGTTCCACAAATATTATTTGTTCTCTCATAAACATCTAAAAAAATAATATTCGTTGTCATTTTACATATTCACCATTTACAGTTCAAATCAAATTAGCCTTACAAAAACAATACTGGCACAAACTACAACTGTAATAAATTAAAGAAAGGAATAAAAACTCAATCCATAGATCATCATTAAAACACTGTTAAACACTGATTAGTTATTAGTTACAACCCAAGTCATCAATGACAATGTAACTATCTAATTACACATTTTTTCAAGTGTAATCTTAGCTGTTCATAGTTATTTACATTTTGCTAATCTGATTACAATTATAATGTTTTTGTATACATTTCTTTAGTAATTCTTTCTCCACTTCCCCCACAGGGCTCCTCGGTTCTGGACGTCCCAGAGTGTTCAGGAAGACCGTGATGACTCCCCTCATCTAGGGCAGTGGACAAAGTGGTGTGATAGCCCTCTATCAGGCATACATGGCTCTATGACCCTGCCTCCCCTCTGCCCTGACAGCTGCCTGCCTAAGACCCCCCATACTGTGCACACACAGGTAGGAGCATTAGGATCTGATACCACTTGGTGCATGACAGTTTTAAACTAATTTGTTTCTTCCTTTTGCAACAGAACATTGAGATATATCTGCTTGAATACTTTGAGTATTTTATGTGAAACCACCAGAATCTTATAAAATACCCTAATACAAATCTTTGGTCATAGCTCCCAGCACAACACTGAAGCAACAACACAGACAATGTAGTTCTTACTGTCTGGGTTGTGCTGTCAGTGGCAGTAGGTGGGAACCCTACCTGGCATGCAGTTAATTGTCCTTTCCTCTGAAGAATGTTTGTTGCCCTTCATTTTACGTAGAGCTGAAACAATTGGTGGATTCATCAGTTTGTTGATTAATGGATAGATCTTCAGATATTTTACATTTATAAAACAAAAATGCCAAACATTTGTTTCCAGCTTCTCCTCTGAGGATTACATTTCTCTGTTTCTTTCTTTTTTAAAAATATTTTTTGGCTGGGGCTGGGCTTTTCCTTTATTAGATAGGACAGCTGAAGACAGACAGGAAAGGGAGTAAAGAGAGGGGGGGATGACATGTAGCAAAGAACCCATGACCGCTGCAGCAAGGACCCAGCCCCGACATATGTGGCGCTACCTCTGTTCCTTTCTTTTATATGATTACAATTTGAGATTTTGGACTGTTTTTTGGAAAAAATAAGCAATCATCATCTTGGGCACTATGAAATTGTGATGGGCGTTTTTCAGTATTGGTGCACATTGTAGTGACTAAACAATGAATCAGCAATAATGAAAATAATCATAAGTTCCAGCCCTAGTTTTATGTTATTTTTCTTTTTATAAATTGTTGTGTTGATTGAATTAATTGTGTTTTCTTCTTATCTCATCAGTTATATTCTAGCAAAAGTCAGATGCTGGGCAGCAGAGGAGTGGAAAAGATGTTTCAGGCTCTTTGTGTTGACTCATGTGCCGGCTTATACTTAACAAACTTCTGTGAACAATCTGGAAACAAGGTGGAATAGCAGCGACTGGATTGTTAGCACTTCTTTCTGTATAGTCCATCACATTTAAAGGTCCAGTGTGTAACATTTAGGAGGATCTATTGGCAGAAATGGAATATAATATTCATAGATATGGTTTCATTAGTGTATAATCACCTGAAAATAAGAATCATTGAGTTTTCGTTACCATTGAATAAGCTGTTTTTATCTACAGATGGATACCATGTTTCCACAGTAGCCAGGAATGGACAAACCAAACACTGGCTCTAGACAGTGCCTTTTGCATTATCTGCAAGTTTTGGGGCCACCATAGTTTCTCCTGTATGCTTGGAAGGCTGAGCTGTATTTAAATGGTTACAATCTGCAACTGAATTCTACACACTGGTCCTTTATTCATGATTGCACATTTAAATCTAATTATTATCATAATGTGGAATAATAAAACCTTAAGTGTTTGTTTTTTAAATTATATGTAATAAACAGTCCATTATTGTTTCAGCTGTGGGAGAATGCAGTTAACTTTTGGACTGACCTGCAGCACTACCATGAGCTGTTCTATCAGGATGGACTGGACCCCTATAGAGTACAGAGAGAGGCACAGGTACATAAATACATATATAAATACATACATAAGTTCACAACCAAAGTTGTTCTGCTAGATTTGAGGTTCCTCATTCTACATTCATCTCCCACCGACTTCTAAGAAGCCATTCTGTGCCATCTGGTTTAAACACAGTATGTACATTCCCCATACTGTATGACATATAAACTAAAACTGATGTCAACTATTTAACAGTCACTAACCCTGCAATTTAGAAGGATAAGCAAATCAATAATATCAGGAGGAGAAGGAAGCATTTTTTGTATTCAAAGCAATAATCCATAAAGTATTTTCTCTATCTTACATTTGATAACATGTTTGCACTTGGAGTTGAGTCTAGTCTGGCTTAACAGATTTTTTTGCATTTTTCTTTCTGTCAGAAAACACTCCTCTTAGGAGAACTTAATTAGCCTTTTTCCAAATAATAGCAAACATTCTTCCAGATTTAAGGATTTTAATTTAAATTTTGGTTCCAAGGCCAACTGTGCAACATCAAAATAATTTCAAGCAATAAAATAGGTACTTTTGTGTAAGTCATGATTTCTGTGGAAAAATAGGTTATAGTTAATTTAAAATTTAATTTAAGACGCTTCAGAGGAATGCAATATCCAGAGATAGAGGTCTCCTGTAGAAAAGATGCCAGGAAAAATCATGAATCACCATAGATTAAAGTGCCAGAGAACAAAAAAACAACCAGTAATAAAAAGTCATTAAATGGCAACAGTGATTGAGTATAATTATAGTATATAATTATATCTTTTATTATATATGTATATTTATGTTGCCCTCCCTTTTATCACACACACACACACACACACACACACCTGCTCTTGTTTGCGTGCTCTCTTGGCCTGCCACTGCTGTTCTCCTCGCTGCCCTCTTTAACCCTCACTAAGTGGAGAGATTTAAATGCCCATAAAAACAAGTGAGTCAGACCCCCCCCAGCTCTGCGCCAGTCCAGTCACCCAGAACCACCCTGTCTGACTACAGCTGGACTAGGGAGGAAAGCTGAGCTGGCCGGTCCAGAATACCTCACAGTGAAATCAATTTTCCTTCAGTTAACCTTTAGTTCACTAAAGGAATGACATTTAGATGATCTTTCCATAGTGCCGTGGCCAAGAGGGTTAAATGAGTGACATTTATGTGGTGTGATGGCAGCGGTGATGAGAGATAGTGAATATTGTGTATGAGAGCACTGAACAATGGTGATGATGGAAGTGATGGTGGTTTTGAGGAGAAATGTTTCTGAAGTGATGACATTTTTATGACCTTCTCTTCTCTTCTCAGCTCCTTTACTCCACCTATCTGTTCAGCTCTGCCAGGAGGAGCATTGGTGTTGATGAGGAGATCAGAAGGGAGGTGTACGACCGAATGATGCCTGCTTTTGAGGAGCTGTTTGACAAGGTTGAGGAACACACACTAAATATCCTGCTGGAGCCGTGGACACTGCTGGTCAGCAGGGACAAAGAGTCCTTCCAGAAGGTGACCACAGTACATCCACAGTTGAATTTACTTTCACTTTTATCTGGAGGAAATAGATATCCTTTAAGTCTAAAAGTTAGCGGACACAGGTCTACTGATTAGAGAAATTGTCCTTCAAGTGGATTCTCATTTTAATAAGCATTTTCCCTGCTGAAATGATGTGCAACACACAGACATCTGACCCCACTGAAAAAAAGAGGTTTTTCAACAAAAATGCATGTTTATGTTGGTGCATGTATGAATATTGTAAATATCAAATTGATTGGACTTATTAGTTATTCTGTGCATGATTGACTATAGGGCTGCAACAGTTTCGATTGTTTGGTCTATAAAACATGTGAAAAATGCCCACCACAATGTCTTAGAGTACAAGGTGATGTCAATAAATGTCTTGTTTTGACCAACCAACAAGCCAAGACCCGCAAGTATCCAAGTGTATGTAATGCAAGACCATAAAAAGATCATAATTGCTTCCAAAAATGAAAAAATGGATGAATCAACTAATAGTTGCAGCTCTAATTAGCTTTATGTGTATGTGTGTATGCGTCTAGGTGTGTGTGCAGGAAGAGGTGCGCTGCATTGACAGTCAGGAGTACAGGGAACTCCAGAGTCTGTACGAAGAATCGGAGCGCCGACTGAAACAGGTCAGCCAGCATCCACAAATTCCACTGATTTATAAAATGTTGGTGCTCAGTTAATAGCCAATAAACACACACCTGTGAGCATAATGTAAACATTCATGTGAAAAGGGCCTCTTTCCAGTATTTGTGTATTGCTTAGTAACAAGATGTTATCTACTGTTCCAAGACTATATTACTTGGCATGAGCGTGCTATTTACAACGGTGTCATACTGCTGTTATATAGAAGAAATGATCCATGTGACTGTGTGCTTTACCGTGACTTTAGTACATCTAAGAGGCAGTATTAGGTATGATGTGATGTGGAAAAGAGTTTTATACCACACTTTATTTTTCTCTTTCCTACTCCATCTCTGTCACTTATTCCCTTATTTCCCTCCTGTTGCTGTATCTCTTCTGCAGGTGGAGCAATGTGGGTCCATGCTATTTCCCTCTCCTTTTACACTTTCTACTCCCCTCTTAAAGGGCCCCCAGACACCTGACTCTTGGTCCAGAGTGTCTCCAAATTACAGAGGTTACCGTCTGGGTTCCTTACTTCGTCATCGCCATGAGATCGGGCACTTTATGTCCTTCCTACAGAATCAGGACGCCAGGTGAGCTGTAAACCACAGACTTCTGTCCTTTGTTTACGTTTATGTCCCCAACTTTAAATATGTATATACAATAGATTTACAACATCAGACTGTGGCTGACTTGCACAAGTGAAGGCCGCATGAAAATGTGCAGAAAGTGCACTGTCAGCAGGATGTGTACAATGCACTGAAATGTATGCAGAAATAGCATGGTTGTTCTGAACCTGTGTGTTTCTGTTCAGTATCCATCTGATGTGCTGGTTGGATCTGGAGCAGTACAGGAGGACGTCTCAGAAGGACAGAGTTGTCAGACAGGAGAGGTCGTCTCATATTGCAACCAAATACCTCAACAGGAAGTACTTTTTTGGCTCTGACAGCCCCGCCACGACAGAACAACAGAATGATGTACGTCACAACACACAGTTTAAGAAATAACAATATGTTGAGTTTTATCTGCAAATGTACCAATTTTGTTACAGTCACAACTCCACTGAAATTGAATTATTGTCAACTTCCTGGGAATGCATTAGAGAGACAGGGGCAGAAACATGGTGCACATGCCATGACAAACGCAAGACTGGGATGTGATCTCCAGCTGAGGCTCAACATCCAGATCTGATAAAGAGAGGCTGCTGCGGCTCTCACACAATTTCCCAACTCCCTTGTTTGGCATCCTTCAGATTTCATGCTGACAGCTCTGACAGCAGGGTGTTGGTGGGAAACAGGGGATGAGAGGACATGGTTAGAATTAAAGCAAGAAGAAGAGAAGAGAGTGGTTTGAATCTAGAAAGACAAAGAAGATCAGCTACAGTAACAATGACAGAAGGATGAAATCTCTCCTGACATTTATAGTCTGAGATTAGGTTTCTGGATTCTAGGATTACTGCAGGAGGGCACGCTGTGTAGAGTTAGAATGAGTAGATGGGACAATGTGTGGTGAGCCTGATTTTTGCCTTTGGGACACCGGAGATGGTTGCTATGTTGTATTTATTATACTGTCACAGAAAAGAGTATTATTTTATATTTGCTATAGGACGCCGGTTCTGTGCCGTGTCGTACACCCACAGCTCTGTCAGATAAACTCAAGCACCCCTCATCGACATGACTTCCAAATGTGTTCATTTGAATTGATTTTGCAAATGCCATTAGGAGCACATGGAGGAACCAGATTTTTTCCACAGATTATCTGTCTCATGTACTACTGTCAGGATATAGTGAAAGTTTCACCATAATGACTAAAAGTTATCTCTCTATTATACTTATCTATTAAATGTTACCGACTGCAGCTTTACAGCGCACAGGGTTAAGAGAGAGACTTACAGTGTACTTGTTGACATGACTTCAACTCTGGTGCATGACTTTTGTCATTTGTCATCCTCATCTCATAACTACCATCAAAATAATGATCATAACTGCATTTGAATGAGGATGCCAATTCTAGTGCTTCTAACTCTGTAGGATTGGGTCTGGCTGCCGCTCTTGCATCTCAGCGTTGGTTCTTGTCTGCGTGAGCGATGTAGAGAGACTGACAGCTTTACTGCTTTGGCCCTTCGCTCTTTCAATCACTCAGTCATCCAGTCACAGATTGGCCTCCTTTCATCTACTGACTCCCACTCCAATGCCACGACTGGTTCTCATTTCTGAAGCCTGTGTTTGAGTGTATGTGTGCATGCATGCCTGTGTGCGTGCAAAATGAGACGAGAGAAAATATAAAGCGAGATATAAATAGGGAGACATGGCCAGATCCATGTATTAAGACAGAAAGCAGACAGGGGAGATGAAGAGAACAGAGGGATTGTGGGAATGATGACGAGCACAGCAAGAGTCTTCATTCGGGTTCCCCACTGTGGGCACTTTTCTTCTGAGGTTGTCCACCTCCTCATATGTTCTTCATGTTGTTTTATAGAAATCTACAGACATGTACACTCAGTCATCTTTAGCATCCATATCAAACACATGAACACACGTGCAACCATCTGCCTCTACAGTTTCTTTGATTGCGTCTTGCTTGCGTCTTTTTCTGTGTGTGTGTGTGTGTGTGTGTGTGTGTGTGTGTGTGTGTGTGTGTGTGTGTGTGTGTGTGTGTGTGTGTGTGTGTGTGTGTGTGTGTGTGTGTGTGTGTGTGTGTAGATATTACGTCTGGCAGGTGGGCTGGAGCGTCTGAAGATAGAATGTCTCTCAAACCCAGTCATTGTGGAGATCCAAGACGTCGTGAGGAGTCACATTGAGAAAAAATGGTTGCCTCTGTTCCTGTCCACAGCAGAGTTCACAGAGCGACAGAAACACCAACCAAAGGTGAGCATCCTGATTCTTAGCACTAGTACAACTAATTGTTTGTCTCAGAACAGAAATGAGTTACAGCACATAAATTTTGGGAAATAGCCTCATTCTTGCTGAGAGTTAGATAAGGCCATTGATACCACTCTCATGTATCCATGATGGACAACTACAAGTTCCTGGGGGTGAAACTCAACAATAAACTGGACTGGACGCATCACACTGAGGCCCTCTACAGGAAAGGTCAGAGCAGGCTGTTCTTTCTGAGGAGGCTCAGGTCATTCAACGTGTGCACTCGGCTACTACGGATGTTCTACCAGTCTGTAGTAGCCAGTGTCCTCTTCTTTACGGTGGTCTGGTGGGGCGGAGGCATCGGCACTGGGGGTGCCAACAAGCTTAGGAAGCTGGTGAGGAAGGCCAGCTCGGTGGTGGGGATGGAGCTGGTCAGTGTGGAGGCTGTGACTGAAAAGAGGATGAAAGGGAAGCTGAAAGCCACCATGGACAACCCCTGTCATCCTCTCTTCACTGAGCTCAGGCAGCTCAGGAGCACGTTCAGCTACAGACTGACCCAGCCCCGAGCCTCGAAGTGGTTTGGAGGCTTGTTTGTACCATCAGCCATCAGACTCCACAATGCCACAGCACCCAGTACCTCCAACCCCCGCAGACTAAGACTGGTTTAAAACTCTTACCTACAACACACAAGCCTTTTGCACTATTTATATTTAATTTCCACTTTAGTCGTTTAGTAGTTTTAGTTTAGTTTTAGTTTTTTGGTTTTACTCAAGTTTAATTTTTTGCTCATATTTTGCACTCCATATCCTACTTGAACAATGCATAGTGTATATACTTTAATTTATAGTTTTATATCTTCTAATATTAATAATATTAGTAATATTTTTATTGTAATATTCTTTCTCTGTTTTTGCACTATTTTGCCCTATTGCTGCTGTGTCAACCTGAATTTCTCCTAAGGGGGATAAATAAAGGAATATCTTATCTTATCTTATTAAACATAAAGCCACAGCCAGCAGCCAGTTAGCTTAGCATAAAGACTGGAAAAGGGTGAATCAGCTTGCCTAACTCTATCCAAAGATGACAAAATCTGTCTACCGGCATCTCTAAAGCTCACTAATTAACACGTGATATCTCATTTTTGTAATCTGTATCAAACCCAAAGTTAAAAAAAGGACAAGTTGAGGCTTTATGGGGGGTTATATATGCAGGACTATTCCTTGGCTCTGAGCAGTTGCCAGGAAACCAGCAGAGACTGTAGGAAGTTACTAGCCCCAGCCAAGAAATAGTCCCAGTACTTACACTTTGGGTTTTTGTATAGATTGCACAAACAAGATATAATGTGTTAATTAGTGAGCTTTAGAGGTGCTGGCACACATATTTTATCACCTTTGGACAGAGCCAGCCTAGCTGTTTCCAGTCTTTAAGATGATCTAAGATATCCTGACTGGTTGCTGGCTGTGGCCTTATGACTGATGTACAGGCTGGGGAGTGGTATCAATCTCCTCCTCTAACTCTCAGCAAGACGGCAAGTAATAGTATTTCCCCAAATGCCAAACTATTCCTTCAGATAGTTAATAAAGTCCTTAAAGGACACTATAGAAACGTTGTTTGTACACAACCAGACATGAAATTGCTGTTTCCAGAGGTCAGTGTTTTTTAAACTCAATGTAGTGTAACATGTATACATGTTCAAGGCTGTCTGGTTAGTGGCTACATGTGTAGATCTGGTAAAGGCTTAACACAAAACTGTTCAACCTACATTTGAAAACAGTTCAACTTTTTCCAACCAACGTTTAAAAGACAACATGTACAAAAACAGTATCTTTCTGTTGTGTCTGCTTTAGTCATTATCAACACACAGCCAGTTAACTAATAGGCTTCCGTGATGGTGTCAGCAGTGGATGCTGAGAAACTTCTGCAACGGTGTTTAATCAGTCATCAATAATATAATTCACCTAGAGCTTGTCAACATTAGGATATATGCTGCCGTCAATCCAGTTTGAAAAAGCATTCAAACTATTTGACGATTTAAAAAAAATGACCGTGAGGTTTTGATGTATTCCAGCTAGTTTAGGTCCTTAAATAAAAGCTTTTGCTACTTCATAACTATTTTCAACCCTTATATACATAACACATGGCCAATTATTAAATAGGATATTTGACATGGGATTAATTATGTTGTTTTGATTTGAAAAAAACCATACTGTTTATTCTGGCATCATGTTTGCTAAAAGGGTATGTTATATTTTTTTATTTTGTGACAAGCAGTGATTACATATCATTTATATATCATACATATATGATAATGATACGATAATGTAATTATTGTAGCACCCTAATACTTGTATGGGTTGTACTTGGCATACTGAAACAGCATTTGATACCTGCTGTATAATGGCCTTGAGAGCGGAGAGAGATAAGAAGTCAGACGCACATTAGTGGCTCTGTGAGAAACCACTAAACACTGTCACCGTCCCGTCGCTCTCTCAGGTTGCCTCATCAGGTGGTAACACATAAACCGCAGATTCCGCTGCTCTGCCTCATTATGTTATCAAGTTTACGATGTTTGGTCACACGGATCCTCTCATTAAGTAATGAGAGGTAGATGTAGTTTAGCATTACACGCTGGAGGAGGAGATGAGTAGAGGAACAGGTGAAGAGGATGACGGAAGAGGCTGGGGGTGGGAGACAAGAGGATATCAGAGAGGTAAAGTTCTCTCTATGAGGAGACTGGAGGAATAAGATCAGAGGAAATAAATACTGAGGAAAGGTTAAAGGGAAAAGGCAACAGAGAGCTTTAGTTACTGCCAGTGACAAAGAGCAGCAGAGTGCAGAGCAGAGAGGTTCGAGAGGTGTTCAGTGTCTCTGTTAAACCTAGTTTACTCAGTTTCTGACTGTTGACCCCTCTCTCTCTCTCTCTCTCTCTCTCTCTGTGTTTCTGTGTGTGGTAGCCCCAAGCAGCAGACAGGCTCTCACAGCACGTCTACCGTCGACGCAGAACGAGGAGAGAAGCCGGGAAGGTAGGGAGAAACCCTCTGGGGAAGCTGGATATTTTGAATGGAGAGAAATAAGGCATTTCCTGGCCTGAAAGCATGTGTGATTTAGTTCATGACTTGGCTTCAAGCACTGGCTTTGTCAAACACCATTTTGGCCTTGTGGTTGGTTTTCCCAAATTGGATCCAGGATAAATAAGATTAAAGCATCAGCATTACTAACCTTCTTTTAATAGTGTTTGGAGTGTTTTCCATACAGCTCCGTTCCCCTCCTCTCATCTCAGCTCCACAGCAGAGCGCAGATATAAAACATGAACATTTTAAGCAGGATGATTACAGGAAGGAGTTGTTATACATGATTGTAACTCTCATCTTTATGATCATTATCTCATCATTGGCAAAGAGAGGGTTTTCTGAATAAAGGAGTATCATTATCTCAGTTTTCTGTGAGCTAAGACTGTAGCTCAGAGGTCACAGATCATATTTTCTGCTGTTGTTCAGGAGCACATCGTACTGTATCTTCTGCTGCTACAAATGTTTTGTTCTAATGTACACACCTACACACAAGTAGGTTATTATCTGTATTTTATTTATCCCTTAAGGAATTTTTTACTCTTAAAATAAACTTAAACTAGCTGTGTTCTTAAAAACCCAACACTCCACTGTGGTGTGTCCCTGCAGGCCGAGGGCTTGTGGATGAGTTCCTCCAAAGAGATCCTGCTGTTTCGACGGATCCTACTCAACCCTGTCACTTGTACACAGTTTCAGCACTTTGTTTCTCTGAAGGGAGACTTCCTAGAAAATGATGTACTCTTCTGGCTGGAGGTGCAGAGATATAAGGTAAAAGAGGCTGATGTGCCAGTGGGTTACAATTTGTACCTGCAACAAGATCTTTGTTGTATGCCATTCCACTATTAATTATGGAAAGAAATAGTAAGTAATATACGAAATACTCTAAGTCCCCCTCCATTTATAAACTGTGTTGGTTTTTTTCCACATTCATCTGTTGAAGGAGAAACATTTCTGAACTTAAATCTCACTTTAACACACGTTTCTGTGGCATCACAACTAGTTTGGAAGCCAATCCTGGTTCAGTACGTATGTTTTTGTAAACTTAAAACCTCCAGTGCACATACAGTGGAGTTTTTAGTGAAGTAAGATGTTGTCCAGGAGTTAAAGATGCCCTCCACACATGTATTAAATCATATATAAAAATGCTCTGCTTGGAACTCTGTGGATCTGATGATCCACATTAAAACCCATAAAAAGTCATCTCCTCCTTCTACCTCATTAAAACTTCCAGTTGGACACAGGATCTCTAAGAGTAAGACACATTGTGATGGTATTACAATCTGCTGTTCACGGTTGATATCTTTACACTTAACCTTAAACCCCCTGAAAACTTGGTTTCAGTTCTCATTATTAGTTTTTCAATATCATGTGCAATAATACTGTTACTTTCTATATCTCATTGGCTTACTTTATTTGGGTTTATTTTAGTTTGATTTATTTTACTACGTGTATTATTGTTATTCTATTAAGCACTAGTGTTAGCATTTACTTCTTATACACTTTATTCTTATGTTACTGTAAAGGAATTCCTATATACTGTAAATTAATAATCTTATCTAAAGGTATGTATCAATGACATTACATATTCACAACTGAATAAGACAATAAAGTTAAAGTTTTCTTAAACTCTGATTTTATCAGATATGACAGTGGCCTGGAACGCACACAACCACACAAGATTTTGACTGAAATGTCGCTAAATCATGACTGGTGCATAGGAGTACGCGACGTCACCTTTTTCTAAGAAAACCCCGTCCACTTCCAAACAGTGAGAAGAGCGCAGAGAAAAACAAATACAGAAATCTCTTATGTGGAATAACAAAAAATGGTGTGTCCATGTAAGATCTTATTGCTTATAATGAGAAAATGATTGTTGTTGTCTGTCTTATCTCAAGGTAAAAATCCCCTTTTCATATCTGGAATACACCCAGATTGTCAATTCCAGGGATATTACAAACATTTCAGCAGGAGTGGAAGCTTAGAAATAGTTCCTACTACACATTTATTTTCTCTTCCTGTATGCAGGACCTGTGTCATTCCCACAGTGACGAAGCCACCATCCAGCAGAAGATCTCCACCATCATTAACTGTTTCATCGACTCATCCATGCCCCCCGCCCTGCAGATAGACATCCCTCCTGAACAGGCCCAGCACATTCTGGAGAAACGCCAAGAGCTGGGCCCTTACATCTTTAGAGAGGCACAGGTAGTGTGTGTGTGTGTGTGTGTGTGTGTGTGTGTGTGTGTGTGTGTGTGTGTGTGTGTGTGTGTGTGTGTGTGTGTGTGTGTGTGTGTGTGTGTGTGTGTGTGTGTGTGTGTGTGTGTGTGTGTGTGTGTGTGTGTGTGCGCGTGCGTGTGTGTGCGTGTTTGCGTGTACGCGTGTGTGCGCGCGTGCGTGCATTACGTCCAGTATGCTGGCTGCATGTGTGTGCTTTGTCTCTATCTATTCAGATGTCTGTGTTCAGTGAATTGCTGAAGTTTTGGCCTGAGTTTCAAGAGCTGAGCAGCAGCGTCCAAGAGGAGCAACTCCTTCCTCTACTGAAGGAGAAACGAATAAAACACACAGCCAGAGTGCGGAGACAGAGGAGAAAGGAGGAGGAAAAGGACGAGAGGAGGAGAACTCAGGTAAGGAAAAAGTCAGTACTGAAGGAATAAAGGATCATGGGTGGTGAAAACAAACTATTCAGTCTGACCTCTTTTGTACAGGAAGACGTGGAGAGGCCAGAGTCCAGTTTTAGGGAGGAGGAAGAGACAGATGATGAAGATGAGGTGGAAGAAGAACAAGAGCAAAGAAGTGGAAAAAAGCAGTCGAGGACACAGAGCAGAGTGCTGCTGACTCCTACGCAGCCGGTGAGGAGCAGTCTGATGTTCGTAATGGGGAAACATGAATGTAGATCTGAAGATGTTTGTGTAAAATGTATCACATAAAGGGAGCCAAACCAAATTAAATGATTTCCTTTGATGACTATCTGAGAGCACAATGTATTAAAATAGGAACTGCAGTGATGAAGATAAACTCAATTACTGCATGAAGTCCAAACAAAGCCTCATCAGTTCCAACCGCAGCCTATAAAAGAGAAACTCGATCCTCTAATTGAACCGTTTTTCTAATCATGTTAGATTTGACTGGATTTCTGGAAATGTTCCCTCAGTTGTCGTGGTCCTACTCCAAGTACATGGCAGCTCTGAAGAGAGAGGAGGTGCTGCTGAGGAGACAGAGTCAGCTGGAAGCCTCGTTCTCCACAGCCTCAGGTACACACACACTAACACACACACACTCTTACCCTAGTCTCCCAGGGCTCAGTAAAACTCCCACATCCAGCACTTTTGACTACTCGCTGCTACTAGACAGACTAAATGCAGGAAACCATAACACCGAAATGACATTTAGCCGTTCCCACGGTAAAATCCAAGCTAAATGTCCAAGGCTGTGATATTACCTGGCAGGCGAAGCCAAAGCATTGTCAAACTGACCCCCTCCACATTTCAAATCTGTCTCATTATGTAGAACTCTGGCCAAAACAGCCACTTCTGCCTGTCCATTAAGTGTCAATGTTCTGTGCAGGAGGAGCCCACATTGCGTGGATGTGTAAATGAGGCGCGATGCTAACGCAGGAGTTAGTAACAGCCCAAAGTGAATGAGGACAAATGGAACTGAAGCATAGTGCAAATTGTGTTTTAATGGGATGCTATAGAGGAGAAATACTGTCAGGAACACAGATGGAGATCATCTGATTCCTGCATGGGAGAGACGAGCTCAGCGGACACGTATCAATCAATTGAAAAACCTTTGAAACAAATAAACTGCAATTTAAGGTGCTTTTACAAAACAGATTGCTATAACATTTAGAAACCAATGCATGCCAAAACAACAAGAAAAGTGATCTTACCTGTAATTCTCAACTAATGTCTCACCTTAAATATATCTAAACTAACAAAAAATAGGAGTAGTTAAGATAATAAGATAGCAATAAAAAAATACTACACAAAATAACTTGATTATAATAAATAAATGATACACTTCATAGCAATTATTTGTTAATTACAAACTTATAAATCACTACCTAAAGTTTTTAATTTACATTTAAAAATATTTATATTTTCAGCTCCATTGGTTGGAGCGCAATGGAACAGCTAACCATCTGAGGGGTGCTCCTGGTTCTCAGAGTAGTCTAGCACAAAGCCATTTTGTGCTTTAAAAACAAACAGGTACAGGTGTAAGAACAGGCGTAATGTGTGCGCTCTCCTTTTGGTCTTGGTCAGCACTCCTGCAGCAGAATGTGAAATTAATTGAAGCTGGTTTATTGCATTCTTTGGTAGACCAGAAAGGACAGCGTTACTATAGTCTAGCCTCCTAATTATAAAAGCAGGCATTAGTACCTCTGTGTTGCTCAGAGACAGAAATGTGATAAAAGTCAAAAATGTTTGTGTATGACAAAAAACAAAGATATGGTCCACACAGTTGTACTGTAGATATTCTCTGTGAAAACAGCCGTCATCAATATGTTGAGACACTGTCATTCTCCAGACTCCTCCTCTGACTGCACTGTGAGGTCAGCAGGCAGTAAACACAGCCGGCAGCAGCCCGCACGTCGCTCCTCCAGGATGGAGAGTAAACAGTGCAACAGTGAGTGAAATAAGATGTAAACACACAAAGTTAGTAGTTACTTTGTCTCTCTAACATCAATGACTATATTGTGTTACTGCAGGGGGTGTGAGAGCCTGCAACATGAAGTGAAACTATAGTGTAAGAAGTGACTTCATGCAGCACAAACAGATGAGGATGACTGACGGCGTTATCGGAGCACGAGGACTGAAAACCGAGAGCAGAGCTGCTACTGATATCTGGTTGACGAGGTAGAAGTTTGAGGCTGGGTTTACGTATGATGTAAGAATACTTTCTTAAACCCTGTGTAACAAACAACATAAATTTTAATGTTTTTATTAAAATGTCTATTAATATATTATCCATTTACATACATTAAAGGCATTAGACTTAGACTTAGAGCTCAGTGGTACAACAATATAAAAGGCAACAAAAACAACATGGTTGGCATCGACAAGTTACAAAGAACAGTGTTATTGTCAAACGAGTATGTTACATCATCTATAAAAACATTTTGGCTGACAGCTGGTATCTCTAGCATCCATCAACATGTATATAATATTGCACTTAACATTGGCATGAAACAGTCACTACATGGAGAATGTAAACACCATGAGCTTACTCTGCAGAGTGAAACATTACAGGCTGTTTTGATAGAAATGCAGCAGATCTGAGTGTTAGCTGTGTATTTCTATCTGCAACACTGAGGTTTCACTCTGACTGAATGAGCCCTGATTTAAAGTTGAAAGAACACACCGTTGAAGGTTTAAGTTGACAACTATTTGTTTTAGTGTTCATTACAGTATGTACCCATTGAAATGTCAGAACTTACACGTGTTTCTATGATTAAAACTGTCTCTAATTCTCTCTGTGGCTATGTGATGAGTTTATAACAGTAAAAAATATCTTTTAAAGACAACTTCATCCCTAAGGCATAGACAACGTGGACTTACTTTACCTCAACAGCATTGCATAAATGGGTAGTTATGTTTTCAAAGCCAAAATAAAGTGTATTCATAGTTTAAGGCTTAATTTAAACTGGAACGAAAGTTCTGATCTATTTCGTGTGTTAGTGGAATCCAATGCGTAAGGCCTTATTCTTCACCATGGTGAACTTGCTGACAAACACCTTGGCGAAGGCGGGATCCACCAGGTAGCGGTAAGACTTGGTGACAGAGGGCGGTGGCTCGGCCAGTGTCACTGGGGGCTGCAGCTGGAGAGAGGCAGCGGAGGGGGAGAGAAACTGGGAGGCTCGCATCACGTAATCCACCAGCCGTCGATACTGCTGCTCTGACAGACGCTCACGGACACCGTCACCCTGAGGGAGGACAGGCGGATGATTACCAGCACACTGGTCCTAATGAAGTTAAATCTGCTGCAGGTGGTGTCCAATCATATGCCATCAAGGACACATGATGGAATGTTTTGTGAAAGTATGTTGTCATGCCAACCAAACACTACAGGAGCTAAATTCATCTTCAACATAGGTAGAATTAGTAAGAATAATTTTATGTGATCAGCCGAGGTCATAGGTTACTGTCGGTTCATGGTTGCTTATTACTGAAGCAACAATTGGGAATCATAGGAAATCTGTACACTTTCCAATTAGGTTGTGAAAAGTCAGAACATTTGAAAGTCTGAGGAAAAGACCAGATGCAGATGACTTGAGAAATGAAAGAATTTTAACTGTAGGCAAAGCGGTTTGAGGTAACTTCATTATTACAGCGTCACCTAGAGGTCATGAGTTGTGGGGTTGTTTGGTATTAAGGATTCTGCTGCACAAACACTGTAAAAGAAAACAAATTACAAGAACAGCAATAGGCTACCTGGACTGTCTAAAAGCACTGCCTTGGCCCTTTTTTGGTGACATGGTTAAACACATCACTGTGGAAATATGCACAAATACTGCTGAAGTGCTCAGTCAACATGCATTCCTCTGAAATCAGACTCGGGTGCTGCCTTCCTCTCGGCCTTCACAATAAAAATGACACATATTGACAGCCAGCCTGTAAATGCAGCGCATAAAATCAACACTATAATTCCTCTCTGATTATTTTGCACCATGTGACCCCCGTACAGCTCCTTTCAGTCTCACCTCTGCGTCGTTTGTTACCGTCTGTTGCTGTAAGGTGAGGGTGAGCTGGCCCTGCTGTCCTGGTTCCTGCTGACACTCCACCTACAGAGGACACCAGGTTTCACATTCACTTCACTGTTCTGCGACACAGCTACAGAAAGGTTCATTTGAGTGTTACAGCAGCTGTTTTTTCCTTTTACTTCCTGACTACAAACACTTACCTCTGTGATGGGGAAGGCCTGCTGCTGGGTGTCCTCACTGAGACTGACCACAAACAGCACCTCGGAGGTAAGGAGCAGACAGCCTGCATGCTCCTGGCCTGAACCACTCACAATGGTCACCTCCAGGGCCATGTGGAGCTCTGGCCGCCCCAGAGACTGGAGCATCTTCCTGTGGTGCAACCAGAAAGGGATGTACGTTATAAACAAGTTTTGACACACACACAGACACACAGCAATATTTATTTAAAATAATATTTTACATAGTCAAATATTAAAAATAAGGCCTTTGTAATTTTATTTTTTGACCTGTACTTGTATAGCCCCTTTCTAGTCTTCCGACCACTCAAAGCTACCTGGCACATTCGCCCTTTCACACACATTCACTTAGTGATGGTAAAGCCCATCGAACAGAAACTAACTCCTTTATACACATTCACACACCGATGCACGGCATCGGGAGCAATTCGGGGTTCAGTATCTTGCTCAAGGATACTTCGACATGTGGCACCAGGGGCCGGGGATCGAACCAACAACCTTCCAATTAGGGGACGACCCACTCTGCCTCTGCACCACAGCCGCCCCACATATGTACGATAGCCAACAATCACATTGCTTCCCCTGCGTTCATGGATTACGTGTATACACATAATGGTTCCTAACTTCAGATATACATACATACACACACATCCCCTATAAACACAAGACCACACAAAGTGCCCAACTCACCTCAACACACACAAACAAGTGACCATACGTGTCTCCATACATCCTGTAATTTACATTTCTGCGTGTTTTCTGTGTGGTTTCTATTACGCACTGGTTCGATAGAGAATGTGTGTGCAGGAACTGAAGTCTTCAGTCATGTTTCTCTGACAGTGTGTTTACTTTGGAAGGCAGGTGTTCAAATTGCAGAGCAGATGTTGAAGCAGCCACAGTAGGGACACTTTGGTTCTGTTTAGTGTTACTCTGCTCAAACAGCCTGACCCCTCAAGTGTCTGGGCTACCTGTAGTAGTAAAAATAATTGATGGACGCCTGATGGAAACCAGTTTGACTGCAATGCAGCATGAATAAAACCACAGGGGAGCATTATCTCAGCGTTCATATATTTTCATCTTCCTCTAACATTAGTACAACATACTGCTAACCCCTCGGGTGATGACAACTAAAGTGGAATGTCCTAAAGAAATATTGTATCTAAAATTTGGCCTTTTTCCTCATGGCAGTTGACAGTCAACACTGACTGCTATTAGAAGTAAATGTTTGATAGCCATGGAAACCGAACTAAATTGCGGAAAATTCATTATAAAATGCCATAAATGCTTTTTTTCTACAGCTCCTGATAACCTTCTGGAGACGGAGGCCTCTTATAAATTTTTATGATAATATTAAGTGTTCCACTGGAATCTTTGAAACACTCAGATCTGATGCAGAGCCGTCGATGCGGCCCGCACTTGGAGCCATATTTTTACAACGCAGGACCCATAGGTAACCTTCTGCTTGGCGCAACATGCGACCTTTGTAAACCGAGTCTCTCAACCTCCAAACCATTCTAGCAGCACACAAAGGAAGGTGTTCCTCCTCCATCTGATGGCACTGGGAAACATCTCTGGATAGACTCACAGTTAAACAACAAGAACAATTTCTAGCTGGCGGATTTGGCAGAGTGCTTATAAAAACCTTTTAACATGGCTCGATGAGAACAAGGGAGGGCAGGCTGGCTACCATGTGTGGGATCAAGGTCAAACATCTTTCCAGACTCTTTTTTTTGGTGGAAAGTGGGTAATGAACCCTCCAAGGTTTTTTTTTTTTCTTTTTTTTTTTAAACAAGACAGCAAAAATGATGAGAGGTAAGGGGGAGAGAAAGAACAGCAGATCCTGGAGAGAGTCCAAGAAAAGCAAAGGGCGAGAACACATGTCCCACTTCTAACGAATAGCTGGACAAAAGTAAACGAGGAGCCTGCGGGAGGAAGGAATGGCTCCGGGGTCATACCAGACATATTTAAGGTGGCTGTTTGGGGCCTGGGCCGACTTCTCCTCTGTGGGCAGGTACAGTTGTTTAGGAAGCTGCCACAGTCCTGCTCCATGAAGGATCCCTGTTAGACAAACAAAGACAGATGTGTTTGTTGTCAGTTATGTACATGCATTTACAGACTGGTGCCATTCTCCAAAATTTTACTGCAAGCTGATAGATTTGATGGATAAATAAGTTTGTTAGTGTGTGAGGGTGGCCTTAAGCCTGTCCGAGGTGAGCCGGGGCTGTGCACAATTGATCGGCGCACAATGCATGCTGGTTATATATTTGTGTCCGACTTCATGCAGACTTGCTCTGACATTGCGCACACATGGGCAACGCTAACTTCAGGAGATCTAGGCGGCCACAGTGGCTCTCCATCGACTGCAAGACCAAGGGCATGATGGGAAACGCCTGGCTGTCAGCGGATCAAAGAGCTGATTGGCTCTTAGTTTTGACAAACAAACAGCATGTTTTCCAAATTTTCTTTGATTTTAATATTTAACTCTAGATTGCAGCTGTTTCATGTCTCATGTTGAGCAATGAAGGTTTAATCTGTTGACAAGATGATAATAAAGTTTATTTATATATTCGAACATGGTTGTAAACATTTCTGTGATTTCCTGTATATTCTTGGAAGGCTACTGGAAACTGTCCGACTTGACTGCAGCTTTTTGTCACCACCGCATCATCTCGTCCACTTTCCAGGCGAAGCAAACGAGCTTATAACTACAATTGTACACTTCATTCTCTGAAGTACATGATTAGGATGACTCTGGGTGTACATGTCACAGTGAGTTCATAACCCGTGTGCGTGTGGTCAGTTTTCCTTCATCCCACTCGAGCTGTCAGCAGAAGCAGCAGCCGCGGGCCAGTGAAGTCATCAAGTAGTTAAAACAGAGCCATAAAGAACACAGCAAGATCCATTAATGATGTCACTGCAGTGGTACTCAATGCTGCTGCACTCTGAGTGTGTGTGTGTGTGTGTGTGTGTGTGTGTGTGTGTGTGTGTGTGTGTGTGTGTGTGTGTGTGTGTGTGTGTTTGTGTGTGTGTAGGTACATCAATGTGTTTCATAAAACAGGATGGAGTGTGAATGAATTATGACACAAATCAATGCAGTTGATCTGAATTGATTACTAGCAGATTGTGTGTGTGTATGCTGGTCGCGTGTGTGTGTGTGTGTGTGTGTGTGTGTGTGTGTGTGTATGCTGGTGTATGAGCATCCATGTGGGATTACATGCATATGCATAAGTTTGTGTTTAAGTCAGACCCCAGGGACTCATTGCTCTTACGCGGAGCTGTTAGCCTCGTTGGTAGTTTATGTGCTGTAGCCAAGACCCGTTAGCGCCAACACACACCACTCCTCACCCCCCCACCCCTATCTTCTACCCTGAATAAAACACAAACTAACTCCAAAGACCTTAACTGCCTAAAGTGTTTGTGCATGTGTGATTAGGTGTGTGTGTGTGTGTGTGTGTGTGTGTGTGTGAGGGGGTCTTTCGGCAGTTCTCTCCTGGGTCCTGCACTACTGAAGGCCCGGCCTAATAAACACTTGGCTT